CTCTCTCTCTTTACTGCTTTTTCTAAACTTGACTGAACATTGCGCCAATATCACAGGCACAGGTAATGCCTGTGATTGCACACAGCTTATGCCCTGTTACCTGCTGAAATCGATCTGACTCTGAAAAGTGAAGAAACAGTTGTCCAGTTGTTCAGTCAAATAAATCATAGCTAGTGTGAGCGTGAGAGAAGCCAAGTTGAGCCAATTAATGTGTAATTAAATTACAGCAGAGGGGTATTGAATTACATAGCACAGGTCAACCAAAGTTGATCCCCAGCTGATGCCTCAGTGATCCTCGTCTGCGTCCGCCGTCGTCGGTGGACGAGCGTGCACACAGAGTGCCACTGTCAGCAGAGCCATTTGCATCTTAATTGGTCGATTGTCTCTTCTCCCCGCTCTACCTTGTTCGCTGAGAATGTTCTTGCTCGCTAATGGCAGTACACGGTGCCTCAAGCTTTGCAGCTCTGCCCTCCCCCTTTCCTCGTTTTCTCTCCTTTTTCAGTCTGGTGCAGTGGTCGAGTGAACAGGCAGTGAGATGATGGTCGGACGGTGAAAGCACTCGCGCCATCGGCGATCATCATTAGGACGACCATTATTAGCAGCAACGACGGCAGAGGCTTCGAGACGACGAGCGTCAGAAAGAAAGAGAGGGAGACAGCGGAGACAACCCAACTCCCATCAGCCTCATCGCCGCCATTATCATTAAAATTCACAATTGTTCGCCCTTGCCTCTCAGCTCGTCTTGAGTTTGATTTCATTCACTGTCCAAACTTGAACCGTCATCGCACGAAACTTTTAGCTCGCTTCGTTTGCACACTTAATTGTCATCGAGTCTTCACTTTGAATTTGGTGTCTGCTCTGGCGGGCTTCTCGCCGGCTGCTGCTGTTTCTGCCGCTTCTGCTTCTGCCTATGCTAGCAAGCAAACATTCGCTTCATTGCCGATCACATCAGAAGTCATTTGGGTAAGCGATTGAACACTCCAAAAAAGAAAAGAGAGAAGGAAACCAATCCAAATGGCCTTACACTTCGTTTCCTCTGCTCGCCTTCTTTACCGATGGCGTCTCTTCTCTTCCTTTTTTCCGATGCTGGTGCAAACGGTGGAGCAAATCGGTGGACTAGCTGAGCGAACTTGGCCACCATCGACTGCCTCCTCTGTCCTCTGCACCGCATCCTCACAGTCCACCTCTGCCACCCTCTGCCAGCCATTCGGTCATTATCGTCTCTGACGGCATTGTCTCTCTCTCTTTCTCTCTTTTTTTCCGACCATTAGAGCAATGCCATGATGATAGTGATACAGTACATGGGCACTGGTGCTATGTGAGGCAATGAAAGGAAACAACAAATACTACAGCAGCCGCCGCCGTCACCGCCATATACGCCATTCATGCCGCCTGCATGCATGCTGAACACACACACAGACAGACTTGCTCTTGGTCTCCGTCCATTCGTCGGTCCGACTATATCTCACACAGGCTGCCACTGGCTTTGTATTCGTCGGCCTTGCCACTCTTTGTACTCCTCGAGCGTCGACATTGCAGCGGTGCAACGGCGGCGGTAGTCTCCGTGTCTTCAACTCGTTTCGCCCTTCCTTTAGTCAGCTCATTCATTCACTCACTGGCTGCCACCCGCCGAAGGCACACACACAGTCCCCGTTTGCGGCTCGGAGCGGTAAGAATCATGCTGACTTTGACTTTTGCCGTCCGAGTTCCAGCACTAGTGAAGTCAACTCAATTCAAAGGAAGTGGCTTCGAGAAGACTTGCAAGGTAAGGGGCACTAAAAACTTTTGTTTTTTTGTCTTCACAGGACACTTTGATGAATTCGGCTGATATGGGAACAGCATTGCCCATCAGATCTCTAAGATCCTAAACTACCAAATAAATAACTAAACCAGCTACGACAACCCTGTAGACACCGGGCTTTTGTAGACCAGTAGTGTCAGAAGCTCGTTTCTACAGGTTTCTTGTTAGTGGTTCAATCATCATAAGGATTACGCTTTCTTGAATATCAAACTATTCCTATTCTCTGATGAAACTATCATCAAATGATTTTTAAAATTGTTAAAAACTATAAAAATGTTTTATTGATTTTTGTCAAAGGCAAACTAAAATTGTCAATTTGTTAATAAACAAAATTAAAAAAATACAAAACAAAATAAAATTGCTGTTTAATTAATCTTCATTGGAGACGTCTTTGTAAAACTGCAGTGCATCCACGTACCCGAGTCCTTTAAGCAGGCCAGCTTTGGGAACGCGTCCGACCTGACTGAACCCATACTTCTGACATGTCTTGATGCTGGCAATATTTGTGGTGTACACAAGATTTGTGTAGAGGGCCTTGAAGCCGACCAAAGGCGCTAAACGGACACACTGCTCGACCATAAAGTTCGCTAAACCTTTGCCTCGGAAGGCACTGTGCACCATGATGCCATAGTTCGCCAGATGCGATGACCGACCTGTATTGGCAATGATTAAACAACTTATGGGTAAATTGAAGTATTAATTGGTCAAGCGTACCTGGAAAGTTTGATTTGATATAAAAACCTGCAACCACTTTGCCCTTTTGACTACCGGTGGAGACTTTTGAAGATCGTACAACAAAAGTGTATAGCCCAAAAAAATAATCGACAAATGCTTGTCGGGTAGTGCTTTCTTGTGGATATGATTGTCCGTCCTTTAGGACTTCCTCAAAGATCTCCAAAAGCTCATCAACATCCGCAGTGTTTACGTCACCAATGTCAAGGAGAAATTCATCGTCTCCGCTTTGATGCACTACAGGCAAACCCAGTGAACGCCCATCAAGTTGAACTTTGGGATGTTCGCTTTTTCCGTAGGCTGCCATGTTTATAAAAAAAATTGTTTGGCACAGTATCTAAAGTACTCGGTAGTTATGATCATCGTCATCACAATGTGATGATCACATGTTTGTTTCCATGTCTTGAAGCGATTTTAGTTCTCACGCTTTTCATCGGATGGCAATACCGTCGAAGAGCCAGCTCAGCTGGCATTTATTTTTGTAAACTAGCATGACTCGACTGACAACTCATCAATTTTCTAACTGTTATTTTTCAATGAAACTTTATTCTTTTATAAATTCTAGAGTCTAACTTCAGGCGTTGTTATATTTAAAATGTCCGCAGCTAAGCTCGGTGATGCAACTCAACGTGATATAATCAAAGAAGAAAATGGTAATATACTAATTCTGAACTTGTTATGAATAACTTGTTTACGTGTAACTTGCACAGATCTTCATAATGATAGCCAGCCGGCAAGAAAAATTGTAATTAAAGGACGAAGAGTTCAAAAGCGAGTAAAAAAGCTTTATTTTGAAGAATCTGATGAAACAGAAAGTGAAGAGGATGAACATACTGACCATCTGGACAAGCGGAAAACTGCACAGTCTAATGAAACCAATGATGATTTAACACGAATATTTGGTTTGAGAAACGTGTTCACCAACAATCTGCTGCCCGGAAAAATTTTAAATCATTGGAGCGACTCAAAGCCAGCAGTAAGCCTTCTGAATGCAACCAACACCGTCTTCTCAAGAATAGCAAATACGAGCTTTCTGCGAGATAAACACGAGGAGTTCGGAACTCAACAAAATAAAGCAAATACAGTCACTGAAAGTCCATTCAAGGCTGTCGAAAAACAATCGGAAAAGTTGCTTGCTTCAGAAGCTGATATTACAAATGAAAGCAACGAGTGGGACAATGATGATTGGGGCGATAGCTGGGAAGACCATTGGGGCAATGAAGATGGATCACAATCTAATATTTCAGATGAAAATGCTCCGTCTGTGAAAAAGTCTTCTTCTGATTTTATTCAGTCCAAATCTGATGCATTTACTCAATTGATCGACAGTAATGTGCGTTCTCAGCCAAAACCAGAAACAGAAAAATCTGAACCGAAATCTGACGATCAATTGCTGAACAATGATGGCTGGAACGAAGACTGGGGAAATGAAAAGGATACAAATGTTGCTCTAAATGAAGCACCTGACGAAATTCCTGACTTCGAGCCCCCAGAACCTGAAACAACTTTAGAAATGATTAGTAATGATTTGATTGTCCATGTGGCTGAAGCATCAAAGTGTGAAAAAGAGCAATCTGAAATATTGCTTTCAGAGTGCTTAATTGAAAAAGTGCCTGATAATCCAATAATGAACGAGAATGGCTGGAGTGATAACTGGGCCAGTGAGGATGTTACCCATTCAAGTGTTTCAGATCAA